CTGGTAGACGGCTGCAACTAACTAACTCATGGCCTGCTAACTTACTCCTGTGTGGCAATGAAGATACGATGGTGATGTGCCATGACGATATGAAGGAGTGAGGACGAAGAGATGAGGAGGAGAGGATGGCTGGCTGGCGCTTTACACGCACGCAGCGTGAGAGCTATACGCTGAAAGATGGGGGGCTGCACAGGGAGACGAGGACATTAACTGAGGAAGCAGGGCAGGGGTGGCATAGATGAAAGGGAGAGTGCAAATGGGAGCGTGGAGGGAGGGAGGTGGGGAGGCAGGGTGGAAGTGGTGGAGGATGAGTAAAAGAGAATGAGGAGGAGGGGGTGGAGAAGGAGGACTGAGGTAAAAGCATGAGCGAGGAGGACAGAGACAGGAGAGGGGTGAGGAGGATGAGTGGAGATGGAGGAGGGGACAGTGGAGGATGAGAGGAGGGGTGGGAAAGGAGGATGAGGAGGAGGAAAGAAGGAGAGAAGGGTGTGAAGACGTTTGAAATAGATGGGGGCGCGCACTTCAGAAACGAGGAAATTAACTAGGAGCAGCAGTGGAGCGTGTGGCAGATGAAAGGGAGGAGCAGGAAATGGGAGGTGAGAGGAGGGGTGGAGAAGGAGAGAGGGGTGGAGGAGAATGGCAGAGGGAATGAGGAGGACGAGGAGCGAGAGAAGGGGCTGGATAAGCTGGAGAAGGAGTGGTGGTGAGGAGGATGAGGTGTGAGGAGGAGGGGGACAGAGGAGAATGAGGAGGAGGAGGGGTGGAGAAAGAGGATGAGGAGAGGAGGAGGAGGAGGAGAAGGAGGTGGAGAAGGAGGATGAAGTGAGAGGAGGAGGAGGGGGACACGAGGAGGATGAGAAGGAGAGGGTGGAGAAGGAGGATGAGGAGGAGGAAGGGTGGAGAAGGAGGATGAGGAGCAGGAGGAGAGGGGGTTGGAGGAGGAGGGGGACAGAGGACCTGCTCAGGTTAGGAGACGAAGAGCTTGGGTAGGCAGAAGGAGAACAAAGATTGGGGAGCGAGGGACGGCAAGCGCGCGCGGGCGGCCCGCGTGTGTAACAACCTACTGTGCACGCTCGGCTAATACGATCGTCTCTATCACGTGTCCTAGCGTGTCCGTCTTCCTCGCCTGAAACACCTTGCGAGTCGAAAAAAAAGAGCAAGATGAGAAAGCGTCAGCAATTGTCGCAATTGGCCGAATGTGTGTGGGTGGGTGAGGGGTGGTGTGTGTACATGCGTGTGTGTGTGTGTGTGTGTGTGTGTGTGTGTGTGTGTGTGTGTGTGTGTGTGTGAAGCGGTGTGTGAGGGAGTGAGTGTGTATGTACGGGAGTGTGTGTAGGTGGGGGAGTGTGTGTGTGTGTGAAACAGTGTGTGCGAGAGCGAGTGTGTGTGTGTGCGTGCGTACGTGCGTGCATGCGTGCGTGCGTGTGCGTGGGCGAGTTATCTATCTAGAACTAGAGCTTCCTGCATCCCAGAAACAGCAGGGGATGGGTGTGGTGGTTACTCAAGAGAAATCTAAAATAGCACGCAAGATTTCGCAGCCTGAAATGTAGCGCAACACATGCCCTCCCGGTACAGTGAGCTGCAAACACTGTGTGTGCGTGCGTGCGTGCGTGTGCGCGCGTGCGTGTGTGTGGGTGTGCGTGCGTGCGCGCAAGCGCATGTGTGTGTGTGTGTGTGTTTGTGTGCGTGTGTGTCTGTGTGCCTGCGTGTGTGTGAGCATGTGCATGCATGTGAGAGTGTGTATGTGTGTGTGGGTGCGTGTGTGTATGTGTGTAGTTTGTGCGCGTGTACGTATACACATACGTGCGTATATAGGAGGGGTGGCGTGGACGCACCTTCTCAGACTTGTTGAGCCTGTACATCAGCGCCTCATTCACAGACACGTCGAGGTTGTTGTACGTCCGCTCGGCCGCCAGATTCTACAAGATTAGAAAGCAACAACACATATACACGTCAACAACAACATATGTCAGCAACAACATACGTCAACAACAACATACGTCAACAACGATTAAAGGTGAAGGTAGGGGCAAGCATCAGGTGAGGGTGGGGGAATTGTGAGGTGTGGTTGGGGGAATTGTGAGGGTATGGTTGGGGGGAATTGTGAGGTGTAGGTGGGGGAAGTGTGAGGTGAGAGTTGGGGAAAGTGTGAGGTGTAGGTGGGGGAAGTGTGAGGTGAGAGTTGGGGGAAGTGTGAGGTGTAGGTGGGGGAAGTGTGAGGTGAGTTGGGGAATTGTGAGATGTAGGTGGGGGAAGTGAGAGGTGTGGTTGGAGGAATTGTGAGGGTGTGGTTGGGGAAAGTGTGAGGTATAGGTGGGGGAAGTGTGAGGTGAGAGTTAGGAAATTGTGAGGTGTAGGTGGGGGAAGTGTGAGGTGAGAGTTGGGGAATTGTGAGGTGTAGGTGGGGGAAGTATGAGGTGAGAGTTGGGGGAAGTGTGAGGTGTAGGTGGGGGAATTGTGAGGTGTAGGTGGGGAAGTGCGAAGTGAGAGTTGGGGAAAATGTGAGGTGTAGGTGGGGGAAGTGTGAGGTGTAGGTGGGGGAAGTGTGAGGTGTAGGTGGGGGAAGTGTGAGGGTGTGGTTGTGGAAAGTGTGAGGTGTAGGTGGGGGAAGTGTGAGGTGAGAGTTGGGGAAGTGTAAGGTGTAGGTGGGGGAAGTGTGAAGTGTAGGTGGGGGAAGTGTGAGGTGAGGGTGGGGGAAGTGTGAGGTGTAGGTGGGGGTAGTGTGAGGTGTGGGTGGGGGAAGTGTGAGGTGAGGGTGGGGAAGTGTGAGGGCATGGTTGATGGAAGTGTGAGGTGTAGGTGGGGGAAGTGTGAGGGCATGGTTGGTGGAAGTGTGAGGTGTAGGTGGGGGAAAGCATGAGGTGAAGGTGGGGAAGTGTGAGGGGAGAGTGATGGAAGGGTGAAGGTGGGGAAAGTGTAAGGGGAGGCTGGAGGGGAAGGGCAGGACAAGCATGATCATGAGGTGAGAGTGGGTGAAGCATGAGGGGAGCCAGGAGGCAAAAATTTTTCCCACGAGAGTTCCGGACCACAGCCAATCAGCGCACTCCATTCACTCGACTTCCTCGAAGCAACAATGTAAAATGAATACCACCCATCCCTAACCCTAACCCGAACCCGAACCCGAACCCTAACACTAAATATAATCAAACCATATATATATATACTAACCATATATTACAAAACACTATCTATGGTGGGTCCGGAACTCTCGTGGGAAAAAAATTTCGCAGCCGGGAGCGTGACGAGTGGAGATGAGAATGAGAAGAGACTGGGTGAGGGTGAAGCTGCAGGTGAAGATGATGATGATGCTGTCGTTGTTGATGATGATGATGATGATAATGATGATGATGACGATGACGATGACAACAACGATGGTGACGAGAACGATGATAATCAAGATAGAGATAATAGAGATAATTAAAACATAATAAGATATACATAATTAGCAGAATATTCCTTATTATCTACTTCTGATAATAGAGATGTCTCTATTATGTACTCTTGATGCTAATGAATGATGTAAGGACGATAAGAATGAGGATGACAATTAGAGTGATGAAGAGAAAGGAGGTGAGGGGAGGGGGAGGAATACCACCTGAACACATAATGAGATTTCTGCTGACTAACTATGACAGATTAGCTACTGTGACAAAGGGACCAGCTACGATGTCACATATATATATATATATATACACATGTCTGTACATGACTGTATATGAAGAGCTTAATTGCAAAACTGCCTATGTATATATATAGTACTCACTGCAGCTGTAGACCGCTGCACTAACTAACTCATGCCTGCTAACTTACTCTGTGTGGCATGAAGATAACGATGGTGATGGTGATGACGATAATGAGGAGGAGGAGGAAGAGGATGAGGAGGAAGAGGTGGCTGGCTGGCGCTTACACGCACGCAGCGTGACAGCTATACGCTGAAAGATGGGGGCTGCACAGGGAGACGAGGACATTAACTAGGACAGCAGGGGAGGGTGGCAGATGAAAGGGAGCAGGAAAATGGGAGGTGGAGGAGGGGTGGAGGAGGAGGGGTGGAGGAGGATGAGGTAAAAGAGAATGAGGAGGAGGGGGTGGAGAAGGAGGATGAGGTAAAAGAGGATGAGGAGGAGGACAGAGAAGGAGAGGGGTGGAGGAGGATGAGGTGAGAGGAGGAGGGGGACAGTGGAGGATGAGGAGGAGGGGTGGAGAAGGAGGATGAGGAGGAGAAGAAGGAGAAGAAGGGTGTGAAGACGTTGAAAGATGGGGGCCGCACATAGAGACGAGGAAATTAACTAGGACAGCAGGGGAGGGTGGCAGATGAAAGGGAGCAGGAAAATGGGAGGTGGAGGAGGGGTGGAGAAGGAGGAGGGGTGGAGAAGGAGGATGAGGATGAGGAGGACGAGGAGGAGGAGAGGGGGTGGATAAGCTGGAGAAGGAGTGGTGGTGGAGGAGGATGAGGTGTGAGGAGGAGGGGGACAGAGGAGAATGAGGAGGAGGAGGGGTGGAGAAAGAGGATGAGGAGGAGGAGGAGGAGGAGGAGAGGAGGTGGAGAAGGAGGATGAAGTGAGAGGAGGAGGAGGGGGACAGAGGAGGATGAGAAGGAGGAGGGGTGGAGAAGGAGGATGAGGAGGAGGAAGGGTGGAGAAGGAGGATGAGGAGCAGGAGGAGAGGGGGTGGAGGAGGAGGGGGACAGAGGACCTGCTCAGGTTAGGACGAAGAGCTTGGGGTAGGAGAAGGGAGAACAAAGATTGGGGAGCGAGGGAGGCAAGCGCGCGGCGCGGCCGTGTGTAACAACCTACCTGTGCACCTCGGCTAATACGATCGTCTCTATCACGTGTCCTAGCGTGTCCGTCTTCCTCGCCTGAAACACCTGCGAGTCGAAAAAAAAGACAAGATGAGAAAGCGTCAGCATTGGCCGAATGTGTGTGGGTGGGTGAGGGGTGGGGGGAGTACATGCGTGGAACAGTGTGTGAGGGAGTGTGAGTGTGTGTGTGTGTGTGTGTGTGTGTGTGTGTGTGTGTGTGTGTGTGTGTGTGTGTGTGTGTGTGTGTGT